TTAAGTGATAAATCGATTTGAAGATGAATCCTATCTCATTAAATAGATCCTATTGAAGCAAGTGAAAGTTTAAAAGGATTCGTGTCCATAACATCAGAGTTTTTAGTATTTCCTATCCTCAAATATCAATACTGAAAATTCTTTTCAAATCTTCATGATTGCGACTGAAGAAAACTTTTATTTTCTTTTAATACTGCACACCAGATAAGAATCATCTCAAAAGAGATTTATCATTTGGTAAAATTTTCTTATGATTTGTAAACAATGGTAATAGATTATACTAACTAATTTCTTAATTAATTTTAAACATGATTGTATTTGTTCTTCAATATTTTTTATAGAATTTGATATAATTAATGGTAAATTTGGATACTAAAAGAAAAAAAACCAAATAGGTTTTTATCAAAAAGAAATAATTAAGAAAATCAACAAACTTGTCGAAGTCGAATAATTGAATCTAGAATAATTTGTAATTATTCTTTTTTCATATATTGAAATTGAAGATGTTTTATTGTATTTAAATAAGATTTTATAATAAATGATGTATGATTATTAGTTGAATTATGAATTGATTCAAGAAGATTTATTGCAAGATGATAATGAGAATGTTCTTCATTTGATCTATCAATTGGTAAAGTTGGTAAAGAAAGTAACTCAATACAAAAATAACACATTGATTCAATTAAGATTGATTTATAAGCTATTGTACTATTATCCGATACAAAAGGTAGATAGCGAGAAACAAGATCAAATGTTAATTCTTCAATAAGTAAAACATTTGAACTAAAATTTAAAAAAACAAATAAAAAATAGAAAATATAAGAATCATTTAGAAATTTAACGAACATTGATGAAGGAATAAAAAAAATAGAAGAAAGAAGTTATATCATCTCGTTGATATTGATTAATAGATCGATAACCATTTGAAAAACGATAATCAAGTATAATTTCAAGTAAAGCAATATTTGCTTCAAGACGAGAACTAAGAAATAATTTAATAAGACCAAATACAATAGTAGTTTTTATTTCAATATTCTACAAAAAAAAAAAGTTTTGAAAAATTCAAATTAACTGAAATATTGATTACTTGTTGATCGAAAAGATTTAAAAAATGTTGTGTTGTCAATTGAGAAGATGTTAAATTTAATAAATTTATATTTGTTAAAATATCAGAACCATGAACAAGAAGAACATCAATAAAAGTTGATATTGATTGACAGTTTAAAGAGATATTTTCGATTTTATCCTAAAATCAATTTTTTTTTCAAAATTATGCTCCTCTTAAAATCCTATACTAAGAATCTCGTATAGTCGAAACGACTATCCAACTTCGAATAGAAAATTTTGTTGAGAGTATCAAAGTACGATTCGCCAGGGCCCGGGTCCGAAAAGTTTGGACCCGACGAATTCTACTCTACAGTATACATTTTTGCATGACAGACAGACATAACTTTCGTTCTTAAAAATGACTTTCTTTTGTTCAGAAATGATTGCATATCACTCTGGAAATCATTTTTAACACAATAGAATATTTTTGGTAAGAAGATTTTTCGAGAGAATGTCTTGTACCATACGTCATCGAGTATAGTTTTGCGTGCTGATTCCGAATATAGCATTGATTTTCAATAGAAATAGTGTGGAGTCTGAAAAAAAGGAGTTTAGTGGAAAAATCTGTTGTATGGTGATCAGGAGCGTTTATGCTAACTGCAGTGACAGAGAATATAAAATAAAACATTCGGCCATAGTTTGAGCAGATTGAAATTGACGCTAAGGGATACGCAATCGTTTTAGTGAACTTAGGTATTCCGAAAGTTGATTTAGAAAAAACTTTTATTTCTTTTTTCACAAATTATACATTCATGTTTAAATATTTGTTTGATGATTGATGTCAAACGATATGCAAATTCAGAGTATCTACTGAGCGTATCTGCCAGATGGTTTAATTTTATCTAAAATTGGTTTCCTCATTGATACCAGTATTTCCAAGCTAAGTTTTGAATTCCGATTAGTCAACTCAACTTAAAATTCGTAACGAAAACTCTTACACCATTAGATAGAGTATGTCTCAAAATATATTGATTACTATTTGAATTGATGAAAGCGTAATCTTCGTTTTTTCATCTAAAGTTCGCTTGAGTTCACATTGTGCTCTCCATTTCTGAAAGCTCTCAAGATCATCTTGACTAAAAATTCTGAAACTTTCAAAGCAAGCAGATCTCATTGAGTATAACAAAAGATCTGCTGAAGGATTCGATGACTATAACTAGCCTAAAGTTTTTCCCTACGCTTTTCTTCATGTCACTACAGCCGACCACACAGAAATTTTCTCCGTAACATCTATGCATACTATTTTAATCATCAAAAAATCTTGAATTGTAAGCTCAGGAGAACCACATTATTTGAAGCTCTGTGAAAAAAAACATGTTTTCTGATGTGTTACAATTTTTGTAAGATTTTCTATAATTCGTCAATATGAAATTTTTCAACGACAAGAAAAAAGACAAAGCTCAATTTATTTGGAGATGCAGCAGAAAAATTTTTAGCCTTATCCATTGTAGACCGTAAGAAGAAAGCTTTGAAGTTTTTATGAAAAATATATTTCAAGAGAACCGAAAAGAAAATTAAAACTTATCATTCTTAGCATATTTTTTTAGCGTGAAGAACAACAAAAATCTGAAATATTCGAGTAAGGAATAAAGAAACAATGCTGTTAAACATAAATAATATCACGTTTTGTTCACTGGTTTAATAAAGTGGTTGTAACGCTCTTCGCCGAAAAGCATTTCGTCGAAAAACTCGTAGGACGCTTTAGACTGTTGCGAGCCCTCTAATTCTTATATAGGCTTGTTAAGCATGAAGAGGTCAACTCATTTTGTCCTCACCCTCACCTTTGGCGCACCCTCCGTGGCTAAAAAGTACTTTCGACGAAGTATGTTTCGGCGAAGAGCACATATACCGATTATAAGAATTGATTTTTAACTATTATGAAAGACAACATACGGTTATATGAAAA